TATGGTTGTCTGTAATACTAAATTCCAGCCCAAAAAATACATCAAGCTACTTAGCTGTCCCTTGATCGAAAAACACAAAACCAGATCGATCATGTTGTGATATTCGCGAGACGTGTATCCAGTGTTCTTGACGTGCGTACACTCCGAGGACCCAACATCGAATCGGACCATTATCTTGTTGCAGCGAAGATACGCATGCGCCTCTGTGAATCGAAAAACTCCCGTCAACAAGGAAAGTTCGACGCTGAAAAACTGCAATCACAACAGACTGCCGAACGATTTTCTACTCGACTTGCAGTCCTGCTCTCTGAGAGCACTCGTCAGCAACTCATTATACGGGAACTGTTTGGAAGGGTTTTCAAAGTCCCTACTTACAGCTGCAAACGAAACTATTGGATTTCGTAAAGGTCGCAAAAACAGCTGGTGTGATGACGACTGTCGTGTCGCAGTGGAGAGAAAACAGACTGCCTACCTCGCAACCTTCCGATCGACCAAAACAAATGCGGGATGGGATAGTTATCGAGAGATGAAGAGGGAAACAAGACGCATCTGCAGACAAAAAAAGAAAGAGACCGAGATGCGTGAGTATGAAGAGCTTGAGAAGCTGACCGCCAAGGCTAATGCTCGAAAATTCTACGAGAGGATACGATGACTTACGGAAGGTTTCAAAACCGGAGCAGACTCTTGTAGGACACAAAGGGGTGATCTAACCACTGATGCCCAGAGTATATTGAATTTATGGAAGGAACACTTCTCCAACCTGAAAAGTAGTGAAAATGGGGAATCCGGAGATGGTGAGCCCGAGGCCCCAATCGATGACGATGGAAAAGTTGTTCCAGTTCCTGACAATGAAGAAGTTCGAATAGCAATCGCCCGCTTGAAAACAACAAAGCGGCGGGAGCTGACGGCCTACCGGCAGAACTATTCAAACATGGCGGTGAAGAGCTGACATGGTGCATGCATCAGCTACTTTGCAGAATATGATCGGAGGAAAACATGCCCGACGATCGGATTTTTAGTGTGCTCTGCCCAATCCATAAAGAGGAGACCCCACCGTCTGCGCCAATTACCGTGGGATAAGCCTCCTTAATATCGAGCATATTGTGTGATAAATAAACTGATTGGGCCTTATCAGTGTTGCTTCAGACCTGGTAAGTCAACCCTTTACCAGGTATTCACCATTCGCCAAGTCTTGGAAAAGACTCGTGAAAAGAGGATCGACACACATCACCTCTTCGTTGATTTTAAAGCCTATGTCTGAATTTGGAATCCCCGCAAAACTTATACGGCTGGGTTAGCTGACGCTAGACAACACCAGAAGCGCAGTCAGAATTGGGAAGGACCTCTCCGAGGCGTTCGATACCAAACGTCGTTTCAGACAGGGTGACTCTTTGTCGTGCGATTTTTTCAATTTGATGCTGGAGAAAATAATACCAGCTGCAGAGCTGAATTGGCGCCACACTGCAAAAAGCAGAATCGAATGGCGCATTGTTGTAAATTGGCTATAATTGCGTAAGCGGTGTCTTCGACAATAAAGAAGAAGATATGCTAAGAATTTTTTTGTTTTCTGTTTGAATCAAAACAGTAAACATATAGTTTTTTTGTTTTATGAATGCATGATGCGTTTTATATTATATTTTAATTTTATTTCTAACGGTACTATTTGTTTTTTTTTTATACTACCCGAAGCCACCAAATTATTTATTGCATTTGGCGTTTACGCATAAATTTGAAGTCGCGACTTTTCGCTCTCGCCTTTGCTCAAAGCTAAGGATTGCGTTTAATTATTTATTATTGTTATTGTTATTATTTGCTTATTGTTAAAATCTTTTTTTTCGGTTCTTTCCGAAAAGCGGTATTTAGCAATATATGCTACTTGCTGAATTTATTTATTTATTTGCAGTATTTAATGAAAAACCCCACTTTTCTTTAAATGTTTATGTATTCATAAATTATTTTATTATAATTTTCTTTTTTAATTTATTTATTATTAGTTTGAGGACACAACCGTCGAGTTTTAGCCAGCGAATAAAAAATAACTTAAAATAATGATTTCCTGCATATTTATTGTTTACATTTTTAACCTTCGTTAGCGGGTGTAGGGTTGCAAGTAAGTATTTCAAAAAGGGGAGTAAGTTCGAAGGGAGTATAGGGTAAGTATTGGCGTAAGTAATAATTATTGATATACAATAGATATGTAAAATCTAATAAAGGTAAGTATGTCAATATAAATTCATTATATATATATAAATTATGTTCATGCCTTCAACAACAGTTTATGATTAATATAACGTCCAACCCTACATTCACGAGACATACAATTTATAAATTGTTGAGGGTTATCGTTTTACAAATTTTATTGTCTTTAATCACTTCAGCGCGTTTTGTAAGTTGTGGACAATTTTTAGCGATTTACCGATTCCATTAATTTTGAACAATTTCGTATAAATTTTACAGGCCTTTCGCAAATGATCTGAGGCCCTACAACTAAAGCCACGATTTTTTCGCTCTGTATACTTCTTTTGACGACGCCGTGCTGTTTATATTTCTTGTCCCTATCGTTCATATGCTCAAGCACTTCATATATTTCATAAAACTCATGACCTGTACAATCTGTATATACACTCCCTTTTGATATTCAATCCTTCGAAACCGTAACGCCCGACCGATTCGCTTTCAACTTCATCAAACTCTGCTATTTTTTCCATATTTATAAAGTATTCGTGGAAAGTTTTACTACTTTTCTTTCTTCTTTCACTTAATTTTTATGAAGATCTGCACTCATAAATGTACATTTAAGTTCTTGCAACAATTCATTCTTTAGTTCATCATATGCACTCACAAACTCCGATTCGAGATCGCTGCAAAACTTATACGGTAATGTAAACTGACGTTAAGCAACACTTAAAGCTACGTCTTGATCGAGAAGGAGAAAATAATACGAGGTGCAGAGCTGAAAAGAGAAGTGTACAGCTGCTTGCGTACGCCGATGATATGGACATTATTGGCCTCAACAACCGTGCCGTTCTGCTTTTTCTGGACTGGCTAAGGAAGCAAGGGGTATTGATCTGGTAGTGAACGAGGGCAAGACGATAAATCTTCTTTCATAACTCAAAGAGACATCGCATTCACGACTCTACTCCCACGTCAGGCTGTTAGCAGTCATAATTTTGAAGTCGTAGATAACTTCGCCTATTTATGATCTAGCATCAACACCTATAATAATTTCAGCCTTTAAATCCCGCGCAGAATCAATCTTGTACACAAGTGCTACTTTGGGCTGAGTAGGCAATTGAAAAGTAAACTCCTTTCCGATGAACGAAAACCAAACTCTACGAGTTCCTTATCGTTCCCATTCTGCTATATGGTGCGGGAGCATGGACGATTCTAAGAGAAAAGTTTTGCCTAAGACTTATGGTGCTTTGCGTATTGGCAACAGCAGATGATGGACGATGCGAGATATACGGCAAAGAGAAGAAATGAATGGCACAATGTTGTTAACACGGCTATAGTCGCGTTAGCGTTGGTCATGTCAGTAAAGTAAGTAAGCTTTCCGCACACACAGTTCTTCTTTAAATTATGGCAGAACATTTTATATCTACTCAAACTCTTTTTCTTTATTGTACTTTTCTTTAAAATCTTGAAGTTTCTAGAAGAAAATTTATGCAAGTCAGTTTGGTTGCAGTATATTATTTTAGCACTAGGGTTGAACAATTTGATTGAATACAAAGATGTTGTAACCAAATTTACATCGCTCTCTAGACCCTACAGCTAAATTCGTGATCGAATTGAATAATGAGTTATCTGTTTCGGTCAAAATATACCTATACCATCTACAAAAGGGGAATTCAGATTTTCTTTATGAATATATAACTGCAACACTAAATTTCCGACAAGACTTCCGTCATCAGGTTGAATGTAGACGGCAAATCTTGAATTTCTAGACCATTTGTTTTGCATTCTTAGCTGATATAAGATTCTCGTTTTTTCTCAACAAAAAAAAAAAACGAAACGAATATTACCGATTTATTATCCACACAACAAATTGGCAATAATTCAGTATACGAACATGAATAAGAAGCAAATGTTGTCGCTTTATCACTACGACAATAAATCGTCGAGTTGCCTGTTTCTCATGTTTTGCATGATGGGATGTACCTGAAGCAAAATTGTTGGTATTGAATATACGAAAAAATTAAAAAGAAGAAACTCATCGAAAATAATTAATTCTGGCTTCAAAGACACATAAATAGTAATTTTTGACCACATTGTACCGTTTTTGGCCAATATCTCAGCACTTAGTCCACAAATATTAGTATTTTTCTTTATTTTAAATCAAACAAAGGATATTCAATTAACTTAATACTTATTTTGGCTTAACTTATGATAGCTTCATTCTGCGTAAGTGTAGTTCATCATCTTTAACATCATCCTGATCAGGATCAGTGAAAACATTGTTTGGCATATCTTAGGCCAAAATACAATAGCGCTGTGGCAGTGACAGTTTTTAAAATCAGCACCTAATATAAACAGCGACTGTCGCTGCAAACTGCCACTGCCACCGCCACAGCTCTATTCTATTTTGGGCTTATCTGTTCAAATCCGGGTCTTCGGTGTATTCAAACACACTTTTTTCCTTTGTATCTCGTTTCCATTGGGTAGACGATCGACGCTCACCGACTCTTGAGGCAATTGTGGCAAAAATGCATCAAAGTAAATATGTAGAAATACAACAGTTTGTCAATTTTTCTCCTTAAAAGGGGCGAATTTCAAACGGCAGCAGACAGAATAGAAAGTACTAGAAATTGCCATTGGCCAGGAAAACATTAAGTTGAAATACCATGTCTAATATTATTTGTCTAAATTTTGTTGTTGATTTATGTTTTCCACCCGAAAAGCGCGCGCTTACGAATTCGATTTAGCAGTTATTATTTAGGTATATAAGCTTATTTATTTGTTACCTACGATAATTAAATTATTATGTACCAAAACAAATACAGGTTACAGCCATAATCCTTACAATGGAGTTATATGTAATGATATAATATTGGCCACTGGAGTTTTTTCATCTAAAGAATTGTGGAGGCTTTCAAAAGGTATGTTATAATAAGATACATGTATTTAAAAAGAAATTGTAAACAATTGTATACTAAAAATGCTTGTCCATAATCACACGGCTTAGCTTCAATAATTGATGATACTAGTAGCGATATATTATCAACAAATATCAGTCATATTAAAATGGAAAATTCGGTCGGAGCATACGAATGTAGCACATATCAGCCACCACCACCGATTTTAGGTGTTGGCGTAGAAGTCCCTGGTAATTTAGCTGCAACGAGTAATATGTTAGCTAGGACAGACTCCAGCCGTTCAGTCGCTTCTGGCTCTTCTATGGTTGTTTCTGCTGGATATAGTAGTAAGGAATCGGCTCATAACCATATTTTGTCTATATTTATTTACATCCATCTTTTTACATTTTAATTATAGTTGATTTTGCTGATCCGCAAAATATGAATTTGCCTCCTTCACCATTACTACGGTCCCAAGGAACCCCATCAGTCTCAGCATGTAAGTCAGACCCCTCTTCATCGCCACCTGATGCGGGTGGAAATATTTCAGCTAATAACGGTTTTTCTGTGATCTTGCGTCCTGGTGATTCTACGGGTGCAAACGTACAAAGGAGCGATTTATCAACGCTGCAGAGATACACGCCAACATCAAATCGCTCTTTGTTAAATATGGGCCAAATGCGACCAAACGAAGGTACATTAATTTTTTTAAGTAATTATGTATGTTTATATTAGTGGGAGTTAAAAAATGCGTTGTTATACTTTCTGGGGCCGACGAACGAAGCCTTGTTGCTAGGTATCTCCCAGAAAGTACTCACCAAGTATGAGCTTTAAATACACTGGTAAACACTGTTTTTGTCACACGAACTTTTTGATAAATATTGTTAATGTCAGTGTAACCTAATTGAACCCGTATATGTTTTAAATCAACTTTACCTAGTAACAAATAAGTATGTACATATAAACGTATGCATATACTTACATCTGCCTACTTTGGTTGTTGGTCAAAGCCTACCAACAACCACACTACGCCCTGAGCTAACGAATCACCTCAAACAGAAGAAGGTGACAAAACGGTCTAACAGTAACACACAATAACAAAGCTACGGACGAAAACAAATCAAGTGAAGTATCAATGCTGACTTAGATGAACGAAAATTGCACGACAACAATTAAATGCCCGAGCAAAACCAAATGTATATGTACACGTTCAAAATAAACAAAATTTTATTTTGAGTGCTCCCGGGGCTAAGTGACTGGGCTCTCGGAGCAGGATGCAGGATGCTGACGTGGCGAAGAAAGGGACACTGTCAGCATAAAAACGTTTGCAAACAACTTTAAACAAAACAAGACACATAGCGGTTGCTCGGACGGGTGTACGTCCCGATTTCGGTTGCTCCTTCGATGGTGCCGCCCAACTTCAGTTCCGCAACTTATCCACCAAGAAATTTGACTCCGTACTGACGACAGGCTCCAACTGCCCTATTTATTTATTTTATTATTATAATTTTTTTCCAAAACACGGAAGCGCACGCCTGCGCCAAAAGGAATGTTTTCTTTTTAAAAGATTACTGGGATGATTTTCCCCTCGCCGCATTAAAGAAAAAGGCGACATCACTTTTTATTGAATACACGCGCAATGCATTCCATTGCCCTAATATTTTTTAGTGGACGAACCGTTTCGCAGGAACACCTCCTTTTGAAGATTTATACCACTGGGTAGGCACACACTGAATACAACCGTGTCGTTAACCCATGGCTTCAAATAATGCAACTGTTTGTCGACAGATATCATTGCCAACGCTTGGAGTGAAAGGAAGGTTAGGCAAACAAATGAAATGAACAAACAAACACAAAAAAAGTTTTTTATGCGACAATTCCACCCCTTCATCAACGAAAAGGAAAAAATCTTCTTTTTCTCTGGGAACGGAAATCTCCTGCCGTATCCTGTTAATCCCTATATGGCCTCAACGTTTCAAGTCCCTTTTCCTTTGCCCAAGTCATGTATTAGTGTGTATGTCCACAGTGACACTCTCCTCCTAACAATAAACGACCCTACACACTTTGAAGCTAACTTCGCCGCATAAAATCTCGCTGCATCTGATAGCATAAGATTTTTCCTGCAAAAAAACTCTCCATGCATTTACTTTACATATCGGCACATTAGATTGTACTGCTTCTCAAGTTTCTCACTCGCATACTCTAACCTAGTTGTAATGTTGGCCATAATTTCATCGAGCCCCTTTGCTTGATCCTGACAATTTAGTTTTTCCCGATATTCTAAACTGTCTATGAAGTCCCAGCCTTCTATAGCAATTTCCTTACCGAAATTCACAAGGTATGGTGTAGCTCCTAACACCTCGCGCTGCGCTGTCCTAATACAGGAAACTAACTTCGCTTATTGTTAGTCCCATGTCCTCTGGTTCTCTGACACCTAAGTCCCAAATGTTTTTTTAATTATTTGGTTTATCCTCTCGGCCGCATTAGCCTGTGGGTGATAATGTGCGGTGTACCGGAGTTGGACGTCATAGCCACCGCAGAGACCCCGAAGCTCTCAATTCCTAAATTGAGGCCTATTGTCACACACAACCGACCGAGGAGCTCCAAACAAAAGAATGACATTGTCCCCTAATTTTTTGCATACACTTTTTTCCATGGCAGTACGAAAAAGAAATAAGAGGGGAAGTTTGGAAAAGTAATTCTCAATGGTTAAAATATACTGGTAACCTTGTTATGACTTTACTTATAGCCCTACCAGATCTACGCAAATCATTTCCCAAGGCTCGACTGCCTAGGTCCTCTCTATCATACACCTAGCTGGATGTGAGTTTTCATGTTTCACTTGATGACAAGTTTTGCCCACCCTTACATATTTTGCAATATCCGACATCATACTTGGCCAGTAGAACTTTTATGAAACACGCGCAAAAAACTTTTTCGCACCCCTATCGCCGGCCGACAAGCTGGTATAACTTTGTTTCAAAATTTAATTTCTACCATCACGCCCTATTACTCTGTTCCACTTTGGAGAATCACCAGAAGTAAATCTCGATCCTACAAACTTGTAGATGTTGTCACCTTCAACTCTCCACGCAGAAAACGACAGAGGTTTATTTTACCTGCCGAATCATCTTTGCCAACCGAGGATCGGCAGTAGTCAACTCAGCAATAACTGGCATACATCGGGATCGCATATTCCGATGCACTATATCAAAATCGTACTGCTGGAGTTTCAACTAACATATCGCTTACCTACCACACGGACCCTTCAACTTATTCAACCAAATAAACGAATAATGATCGTTAACTTAGCGCCCTCAACATATGGTCGCAGTTTATCACCCGCCGGCATTACGCTTGTCAGGACCTATCCCCTAAGCTATCCCCTTCCCTCTCAACGTCATCAATCATTTGAGTTAACATCGCACCTTTACCGAAATCAAACGCGTCTGTCTGGGTTGTGAAAGGCCTATCAAAATGTGGGCAACTCAAAACCGGTGTTTTCACTAAGCGCACTTTGTTTCTCTAAACTCCTTTCACAATCTTCAGTCCAATTGAACTTTCGGCTCTTCTTCCTTACATCGGTGAGAGGCCTTACTAACTCTGCAAAATATTTGATGAATCTGTCTATAAATCACCGCACCTGCTTTACGTTCTTTGGTACCTCAATCCAATCCATCGCCTCTAGCTTCTCGGGGTCTAAGTGTAACCGTTCTTGTCCACCACTTAGCCCAAATATTTCAACTCAGATCAACAAAAATTACATTTTTTCTTATTCCTCTCTGCTCTGCTCTAGCTAATCTATCCAAAACGTCTTTCAATATACAATATCTAAATGATTCTCAAAATTTTTTTAACAATAGCAACATCGTCCAAATACACAAAAACATGAGGTCCCTTTTTCGAGCATATCTTTAATTTCCTTGTCTATTCGCGACGAGGCGATAGCCGAGTGGTGGGGATGGCGTACTGAGTCCCAGTGCCAGCTAAATCAAAAACTAAACAAATCAATTTAATCAAAAAATTAAGTTAAATTTTCTAACAGCGGTTGGCCCTCCGTAGGTAATGTCCAGCCCTCCGAGTGTATTTTGGGCACGAAATAAAGCCTCATAAAAAACCATTAGCTCTCTAATTGTTGGAAAAACATCAGGACGCAGAAACTACAAATTGGAGGAGGTGCTCGGCCGAAAATCGATTCAGCGGTAACAAAGCGCCAAATATATTACAAAATCGACCCGTTTCTGAAGCGGATTGTAACTGGCGATGAGAAATTGGTCACTTTCGATACCATCCAGCGCAAATGGCCATGGTTAAAGCTCGGGGAAGCGGCTCAGACGGTGGCCAAGACCGGATTGACGGCTAGGAAGATTTTGCACTGTGTTTGGATGGGATTGACGAGGAGTCATCTACTACGAGCTGCTCTCCTATGGCCAAACGCTCAATTTGGCCCTCTACTGTCAACAAATAGCCCTCTTGAAGGCAGCACTCATCAAGTTGTGGCCATCTTTGATCAACAGAGGCCGAATTGTGTTCCTTCTGGACAACGACAGGCCATACACGTCTTTGATGATGCGCCAGAAGCTCCAGAAGCTCGGATAGGAGGTCCTATGGCTCCCACCTAATAGTCCGGACCTGGCACCATATGATTCCCATCTTTTTCCGTCCATGGCGAACGCGATTAATGGTGAGAAGTTCGCCTCAAGAGAGACTTGTGAAAATTAACTCTCCGAGTTTATTGTCAATAGGGACGCAGCTTTTTACGACGGTAATGAAGTTGGCATTTCGGTTACGAACAAAACGGCGCATATTTGATTTAAGTTGGACAAATGTACACAAAGTTATCATATTTTGAAAAATCCATAAAAAAAAACCCCAAACGAACCTAATATTAAGGTCATGGTTTTACTTATTGAATAAAGTTCCATTTTGACTTTTTGTCTAACACTTTTAACAATATTTTCGATTTGCTTAAAATCCTTATTAAAATAATCATCAATTATAACTTTTTTTAATTGTTTTGTTAACGTTTAGGAGGTAACTCTGAAAATCTTGTCTATCTAAATCGTTATTTGTTCCGAGTAGCCATTTCGACATACTACCCATATTTCCTATTTGTCTAGAATTGATTATATGTATCACTATGCCTGTTTCATTTACAAAATCCAAAATTCTAGTCTGTAGGTCAACAAATCTTTGTGTGTCTGTTAATTCAGTTATCGTCATTGTGTCTATCGTAAAATTTATGTATTCTATTATACGCATTATTGTCATTAGCAAGTAAGGCTTTTTAATATTACAAGTGTGTATTCTTTTCAATATCAGTATAATCTTCTCGGTTTTCGTTAAGTTTTGTGTTAATTTTACTTTTCATTACCTCAATATTCTTTTGTAATATCTATTGACACTTTATTGTCGAGAGGAATCTGTGATTATTATTTCTAGTAGCATTTTTAATTAATTGTTTTATGGATACCCCTTTCTCCAATTCATATATATGTTGAAACCTGAGTGTTTCTGCTATCGTATTATGAAATCTTTCCACATCTGAAATACCTGTATGACTCTACGTTTTGGTGAAATGTAATTCTACTTTTTCATTTACTAGAATTTTTTTTATTCTTATTGCCTTGAATTCGTTATCAGCTACTATTTTCCTTTGCTTTGTTTTTGTAAAATAGTCTTCCAACTACTCTA